GTATAATCATTGCATTCACACTCAGCCATATATTTTATAGAGATATAAGAGAGGATTGTTTATTTCTTGCAAAGTGTATTACGTATTTTAGAATTTATGGTCTGATGAGAGTATGAAGCTAAAACTGGGTTTTGATAGTTTTAGCTTCTTATTTTTGAATGGGGTTTACAGATGGCCTCACGGTAAAACATGGAAGTGTTAACGGGAAAAAGATCCCTGTTTAAACTGAATTACAGAATCAGTTATTTGCATGATATTGAGGGAACAAATAACAGTTACAAGGTACGTCACTGACTTAAGCTTGAGGAAAATGCATGAATACTTATTTTGTGGCTCCACGAAGCCTTCAAAATTTGGATAAAAGCCATGTAGCATGCTGGGAAATGTCACACCAACAATGCAGCTTGCTCGGTGTCTGTCTGACTGCCTGTTAAGTGCTGTAACGTTGCCATCTTCATTTCAAAACCAGTCGCATGCAAATTGCTGTCATATTATTGGGTGAAAAATGGAACACATGCAACTGTTGCTATTTTATGCAGAGTGAGATACAGGGTTTCAGGTTACTAGATTCTGAAGTGTAGTAACGGTTTGGGAGATGACCGCAACTCTGAAATCTCCCTGTCTTTCTTATGCACTCGCCATGATCACTGTGTTAATATTAGACCTTGGATCTAGAGCTTAGATTCATTATTTACTATTTTTATATCCACTGATATAAAAGTTAATTCAGCCTGATATATTGAAAACAAATCTTTTTGTTTGATTTTAGCATAACGGTTAGTTTTTGGCAGTTGGCTGTGATTTAAGATTGAGAGCTGGTCTGAATGTTTGACACAAAGCCTTGTGGGTGACAGTGGACCAAAAGGAAGCACGTCCACGAATCACGCTCTGTCATAATGAACATTTGTAATTCATACAGTAACCGTCCAGATCCTGAAACTTTGTTTTTGGCAGACGTGGTGCTCTGTTTAGCATCAGAAGTGGATTTGTCTTCTTGTTGTTTTAAATCAAAAAGGGAATTTTTCAATGGAACCGTACCATACCATGTGCACTCATATATACTGTATTGGTTTATTTTGAACTGTGTTGTTGATTTTGGACTAGAGTTGAAATCAAAGTCATCTTACCAATGTAATTTGTGAAGGGATGCTTTCATAACCAAAGACTGTTATTAGTGTCCTTCAGTTAAATTCACAGATGCTGTTGAAGATTATTGATTCTGTGACTGTATTGTGTGATAGTGATATATTTGCTTTAACCTTATCAAACACCCCATCTATGTTTATTTTGAGGCTTTTTAATTCAGGAAAAGTCTGCTGTATATGGGGTGTGGTATGTTTGTGATTCATCTGTACTTTTTGTTTAAAAACTCTGGATTTGTTTGATTCTGTTTGAGCCCTAGGCCTGTTTAGGATTGGTTTTCAGTGCTTTGGCTTGTTGTGTATGAAGAGAATAAAGTTCCTGTCATGCAGCACCCCCTTGTGGTCATTCAGCAATAGCTGTCTTTGCGTCTTCCAAAACCAACAGAGAAAAATTGTGCTCACTAGTTCTTGTATTTTGCTTAAAACCTGGGAACTTTAACTTTAAGGGCCAGTTGTTCAAAAAACTTAATCTGGATCAGAATAACCTGGATTTGAAAATCCCATGTTTTGCTATCCAGGATCATGTAATCCTTTTTACTTTTCTGATGGTTTTTCAAAGCAAAATTGGATAGGATCACAGTGGTCCAGGTCCACACACTTTTTCAGATGACCAAATCTGGATTACTAGTGCTCTATGGAGCCCCTAGAGGTCAGTTGTTCAAAAATAATCTGATATGATTTCAACTATCGGATTGGATCAAATCTTGAAAATGGGTTGTTCAAAAGAAAAAAGGATTGTAAAATCAGATTAAATAATCAGATTAAATCACAAAATCCAATCTTGGTTTTGATCTGGATCAAATCTTCACGGTGTTGTTCAAAACCTTTTTTTAAGATTGGGATACTTTTGATCCAAAAAACTCAGGATTATACTGATCTCAGCAAAATGGTGGATTTCAGGAATAAAAATGTACATTATATATATATATATATATATATAATATATGCTGTACATTATATATACAGTATATATAGACATTAGGCTACCTCTTAAGCCTTTTAGTCGCTTACAGTAACGTAAAAAAAAAAAAAGAGATCTTGGTGCCAAACAATCCCCAAACAACTGTCAATATTAAGCATAAATATTATATTTCATTTAAAGATCATGGGTTCGATTGCCAGCAAACTGAACATGCATGAACTGATAAAAATTCTTCTGATAAAAGCATCTGCCAAATGCATATATGTAAATGACCTCAAATTTTGTACGTGCATTCCACAACATTAAAGTGTGGATGCTTTGCAGGCATTTTCATTACATTATATGAGAAAAAAAGTCACACAAAAAATAAATAAATAAATTGGGTTAACCAGTATTTCCAATAACTCAAAAATTGAAATGGGTCAAATTGACCCCCAAGTTTCCCAACATAAGGGCTGGTAATTGCTTCAAAACAGTTTAGGTCAATTCAAATCTATTAATTTTCTGTTTTAAAAAAATCGTAGTCAATATTATTGAGTAAAAAAAAAAAAAGTGTTATTTTTTTTTGTATCAATTTTCTGGTTAAAACCAGTGTTAAACATTCAATAAATAAATATGCAGGCAAACAAATTTGTCAAACAGTTTTATTATAGCAATTTCCATCTGCATTATATATATATATAATATGTATATTTAAATCTGATATAGCATTGTCTGTTTTATAGTATGTAAGCATACAATAGTACTCTCTGATTTATACAGTATCTCTATACACATTCAAGATTGAAAATAGCAGCAGTGTATGACAGACTCAAACCGCATGTTAGAGCACCACATTTTTGAAGACGTTTCCTCTTTTCTAAGGCAGGCGATCCAACGTGAAAACACTGATCTGATCTGTAGGACATCACCAAATGAACAGGCGTTCCTCTTTAACACAATGTGAAAAAACTGGAATAAGTGGTCGATATAACAGAAGAACAGGAATGCTGACCGAAGCCTTTGTTAGTGTTCAACAATCACTATTTCACATCTCAAGCCCCTTAACAGTAGTTGTGTTAATTGAACAGACTTACTCTACCTCTCAGTCTCATTACATTAAATTCTGCTAGTTTACTTTCGGATATTTTGTCCGAATTGGTCATTAATTGGTCATGACTGTCCCTGCATAGCTGTTGCACTATTGCACTGAGAGGTTGCTACATAAACACTTGAGACGTGAATGTCCTGATATCCAGTGGCTTACGCATCTGACAGGAGCGTCTCAGGAGGTTTTGATAAAAAAACAAAAACAAACAGTCAGCGGATAAAACCATCAGCCAGAGATTCGTTCCCCTTTGTAACAAGAGCGTTAATGTAATCCTAAACCAAATAAATACATTAATGCTGAATTATTTTCCTTTTTCATCTGTTTTAAATTCAGTAAATCATCAAGTACCTCTTTTACAATCCCATGACATTGAGTCCTACATGAATAGCTTTTCAAAAAATAATAAGATAAAAGAGCAATAGTGGAATCTGGAAGATAAGATATAAGTTACAGTGCAAGTTCCTGAAATAGTGTCTTTGAGGTCCTAAACGCAGCTAGCAACTATCTGAAGGTAGTTGTGACATACAAAATGTTTCTTTTAAAAATTAAGAGTTACGGGATTACAACAAAAGCACTGAAAACCAAAAACGTATCATTAATAAAGAGTGGTCCGACGTACCTAAAAATGGAACCAGTCATGAGACGTATACTCTATTCACCTTAAAATTGGTGACGCTGTACCTCAGCACAATCAGGATTGACGTGAAAAATCTCCCTCTCTCTCTCTCTCTCTCGAAGAAGAATTAACGAGACATAGTTATACTGTTCTATTTTGGATTTTTGTAATGTGGTGCTGCTAATATCTGTAATTAATCACATGCGGTTGTATTTTTATATCATTTTAAGTTGCTTTGAATAGAAGCATCGTGGAAATTCACACCGATATTTTCAAAAGCACTGAACTATATAGTCACTAAATTATGGCTGCAAGTTGTTTCAAGGAAACTTCAGACTTTTTTGTATTTTTTAATGGGTTGTGTAAGTTAACATGTTAAATGAAAATATCAAATATGTGTAACTATCATTTTTAACACATCTACCAAATTTAATTGTTAGTTTCAGCTTTCTAAAGACAAAAACGGAGAGATTAATCATTTTTGTTTTATTTTCATATAATTATTTGATTCTATTGACATTTTTATGACATACTTTTAACAGCAAGAAATAAAAACTAAATCTGTTCCTAGGTTCTTATGACATTTGTTCAGAAATCTTTCAGCTGTTAATACCAAGTAAATAATTTCCAGAAAATATTTTAATAATTTGCTTAGCTCTAGTACAGGGATTCCCTAAACAAACCCGTCTCATGTGAAATATTTACTTATAAAGTACATATAATATATCACAAAACTGCATGTTCACAGGTTCTCTGATGTCAGTTAATTGTCACAAGATATGCAAGTACACTAATACAATATTTCATCTTTTTAAGTGTTTTATTTTGATTGTTTTTATTTTAAATGTATTTATTTATTTTTAAGATTTAATTGATTATTAGCTTTTCAAACCCAAACACCCAGTTTTTTGGAATCTCTGTTCTAGTGCAATGACAATATAAAGGCCAGTTATTTATTTTGGAAATGTATAATATTACACTGTATAATATTATCACACAGTATAAATGAGACTTTATTCAGGAAAGTATAGTTGTCTTTATATTTCAGAAAGCTGCATGATGCCCTTAATTTGAGCTTCTGCTTAATGTGAAAACATAATATGATTTTCAGATTTAACATGACTGTGGTTCAAACTGCAGTTACGAGTCAAACTGCAACTTTCAGCAATTCCATGCATTCCAAGCAAACCAGTTTGAGTTCAGAAGTGCAATATAAATTCTCAGCAGCGTTCAGACCTTGATGTAGAGCAGGTCAGCGGCGGCTCTCACGGAGTAGTCTGGCACGTAGACCTGCAGGAAGGAGTTGAGCTGGTTGTTGCTGCTGCCCAGCGTGGGAGTGACCGCCTCCATCCGGTCACTCCTGTTCAGGGAGTCCGAGTGGTTGAGTCCGAACGGTCGTGGAGGTGACTTATTTTCTGTATAGCAAATAAAGGGTAACATGCAGGTCAGTGGTCAGCTGCTGGTGTTGCTGTGATGTAAACAAACGAAACTAAAGATTCTTGTCTGATGTTCCATTCATTTTGGATGCCCTGTCTCTTCTCATGAACCGTGCTGTGGAATTCTTTAGACACAGAAGTTGAGCTTCATTTATTTACAATCCAAATTGTGATGTAGCAGCCATTTAATATGACTTAGATCTTCCTCTGCTAGAAATCCAGCGAGGATTCGATTACACAGCCAAATAATGAACATAAATAAGGAAAAACAACCATTAACAAATGACCTCTAACACTCTTTTGGCACTACCTTTTGTTTTGCTGATAAAACAATGGATATAATCCATTCCCTTTTTACACATTTACAAACTTCGCCAGAAAGTGACATAATTAAGATTAGAACATCTGCTTAATAACTCACAGGTAACACAAGGTGAAGAGTTTTTAATCAAAATAAGATTAGGTTCTCCACTTCTTAAAGAAACAGTTCAAAGGGTGTCTGTGGGGAAGCAGTCCAACAGTCATTACACTGGAATGTATATAATCCCAGGGTCAGATGTCTAACCGTGTGGATTTTTTCAATTTAGAAAAATATTCACAACCAATTTGCTTCATATGAACATTTTTTATCAAACAACAAATGGTTTGTACAGTAGCATTAAAAACGTTTAGGTCGGTAAGATTGTTTTTATGTTTTTGAAAGAAGTCACCAAGGCTGCATGTATCAGATAAAAAAAATTAAACTGTAATATTGTAATATATTGTTAAATACAGTGGTGTGAAAAAGTGTTGGCCCCCTTCCTGATTTCTTATTTTTTTGCATGTTTGTCACACTTTAATGTTTCAGATCATCAAACAAATTTAAATATTAGTAAAAGATAACACAACATGCAGTTTTTAAATGAAGGTTTTTATTATTAAGGGAAAACAAAATCCAAAACTACATGACCCTGTGTGAAGAAGTGTTTGCCCCCCTCTTAAAACTGCGGTTTATCACACCTGAGTTCAATTTCTCTAGCCACACCCAGGCCTGATTACTGCCACACCTGTTCGCAATCAAGAAATCTCTTAAATAGGAACTGCCTGACAAAGTGAAGTAGACGACGAGGGCGCTTGGTGACACTAGGGTGATAAGAAATCAGGAAGGGGGCCAACACTTTTTCACACCACTGTAAATTAATATATTGTGAAATATTATTATAATTTAAAAGAACCTTTTTCTAATTTAATATATTTTAAAACAATTTATTCTTGTGACAACAAATTTTTAGCAGCCATTACTCCAGTTTCACATGATCCTTTAGAAATCATTATAATATGCTGATTTGGTGCTCAAGAAACATTTCTTATTATTATCAATTTTGAAAACAGTTAATCAGTTGATCAGATCATTGCTTATAGGCTCCCATGACCATTATCAGACCACTGACATTTACTTTGTCAAAGAAAATGAGGACCTTGAACAGGGAAAACTCTTAATGCACCATGTGAAAGAGAGGATTCAGTGGAAGGAATGAAAAGGGGTGAAGAAACGAGTGCGGTACCTGGAGATCCTGCCAGCGATTCTGCCCTGCTCACAACAAAGGTTCGAGACAAGGAGAGAGGAACTGGAGAGCAAGAGTAAGGTAGGGAGAAATAAAGGGAAAAGAAGGGAACGACAAAAGGAAATCATGGGGAAGAAAATATGATTTACACAGAATTCCATCAAGAATCAAAAGAGTAATCATTTGCATAGTGTGCATTTACATAATGTGATTGATTGAAGAGAGTCAGAAGCATGTGTAATAAATCTGAGCGCAAACAACAACATCATGCATGATTTGGTAAAAAGAGTTGTATAAAATGAAGAAATCAACCATACGAAAGAGTGTAAAAACATCAGAGATGAGATTCTTTCTTTCATGACCAAATATCGTACATTTCATAAAATCATCAGTTATTTTCATAAAACTCCTGACATTTAGGGGGGGTGTGCAAGAAGTGAGAAAATCCATAATTCAGACCTGGTGAAGAGGTTAAAGCCAGCACTCCATAAAAAGAGAAGGCACCAGCTTCAAACTTCATCCCCTCCTTTCCAGCCTCAACCTCCACCTTCCCCTGTGAGCCAACAGTTACAAGTATTTGAGATAAAACTCAGTAAAGTGTTTGAATTCAATTTGTTCAAAATAAGGAGTCCAACCCTTTTCAACAGCTTTTGCTATAACATGCTGTCTAGGTAGGCAGCTCTCTAGGTTTTGGAACAGGGCTTCGAGATTTCAATCCTGTGTTTTCAATCAGAACTCATACCTGCAAGATGAGGATGAAGTAGTCCACAGGCTTGTTGCGGTGAAAGAGGTAGTGCTCTGACATTTTCTTGTTCTTGTCATCATATTTGAGCTCCTGGATGACGTTAGGATGTTTCAGCAAGCGCAGGAGGATTTTCTCTGACATTTGAGCCGTACTGAATGACTCCACCTCTGGGGGTTAAGAAAAAAAGATGGGGTTAAGAATGCTTTACAAGTTTGTGATTGCATTCTTAATAAAAAACAGAGACACATGTAGTTACATGCTGGACATCAGTACCAGTTGCCAGGAAACGCAGTGCGGCCAGAAGAAGCTGTGGTGATATTTTCACGCTCAACTCATTATCTGTGGGTTTGAAAGCAGAGAAGTCCTGTTTCCTCTCTCTGTGAGCTATCCTCTTTTTCGTCTTGTTGTCAGCTTTCATTTGGGAATAACAAGATGACATGGTTAGAGAAGGAAAGGAAAAATAAATGAAAGGAAATCTAGTTTAAAATCCAGGTTCTCAGATTAGGTAGTCTTTGTATTCATTTTGATTTATATGGTTTTGAACATTCTTAATTCTATTTTTAAGAAAAGTTTCAATTTAATGAATCTAAATAATACATAATGTGGTGTAACCATCAATAGAATTACCTTGAATACATGCGAGGGTATACATCTTAAAACAAAAATAAAAAATACATTTACAAAAATAAATCAATGTAAAGTATTTTTAATAAAATTATCATGAATTATTCATGAATAGATATTAGGTGAAACAAATTTCGGATATTTTTAGAGACTTGTTGAGTTTTTTGACCCTGACCCCCCTTAAAAATATCAAAATACATACATATATAAAAAAAAAAAATGTAATTAAATTAAAAACTTGCTCATCTTAGAAGAAGTGAATTCAAGTCATGTATGTATAAACTATATATTTTGGAAAAAAATGAATGAGCGCAAGTCAATCACCCATAGGTTGAATAGAATAGAATAGAATAGAATAGAATAGACTCATATATTTGGATAATAGCATGTGCCAGACTTGTAAATGTAAATGGTACTCACTGTACAAGTCAGTCTCATCAAGAATCTCAGATTTGATGATTTCCTCAATGACGTCTTCTAGCGTGACGATGCCCAGGACCTCATAGAATGGGTCTCCCTCTCCTTCATTATTCACTCTTTGGACAATGGCCAGATGGGATTTACCTGCCACGGCAAAAACCAAATACAGTTACACTATAAGTTTATGAGGTATCTCTCAAGATCATTTCAGACATGGTAGTCCCCCTGTACCATAAACAACCATAAATGCACTAAACCCCACAGAATCACAGTTCTGTTGGTTTATGATTACAATATGTCACGCATGCTTACTAAGAACCACGAGAGAGTTATTATTTGACAGTTGTGACTGTTCAAACATAAGGTTCTTGGAAACAGTCAGACAACGATCCATCGCATTTTCTTAGCAAATCTCTCGTGGTTCCACATCTGTTTTCCCAGGACCTCCTTGATAAGCTGCTTAAAAAATTCCTGCCCAGCACTGTCAACCAAAACGTTAAAGAAAATGATTTTCCCGTTTCTCAGCTAGTGATCATTTCAAAGGAATTTTCCGGAGCCAGAGCTAATATTAGATATGAAATGAAGTTTCCATTCCACTTAGGCAATGCTCTCACTGGCGTGGCAGTGTAGCAATCCATTATGTAGGGTGTCCGTATAAAACTTTTCCATAAATACCAGTATACAGCAGCAAAAAAGAAGCAGCGGTTTCTTTAAAAAACTACTGGGTGGCAGAGAGACCCGAGTTAATGACTGACCAGTCCTACTTTACCCTGTGCTTGCTCAAAGGGATGTGCGGGCTTATTTCATGCCTGTTGGATTCAGTAAGCACCAATACTGGCCTGGGGAAATATAAGTTTGTTTTCATTTAAAACCAGCATGACTTGAAATCAGTGGGAAAATAAGATTATTAGTCCAGGCTGCCCACATCTCTCAACCCTGATCTATCTGATCTTTAGACAGTCACTCCTCAACACATTAATTAAATAAGACGCAATAAATGATCTTTCATTGGTTCAGTCTAGTTACAGCCAAACTGAGAACACAAGCCCTATATCCAAAGAATCTAGAGAAGAAGAGCCATTGTTTTGAGTTTCCAAGAAAGGCCCACACAGTGTCACAGAGGCTTTAACAGCAAATAATAAAAAGTCTGAGACTGTTTAATTTTGACCACTTTGAGAAGATATTTTGAAGTGTATTATTCAAATAAATGTTCTTTCACATTTCTAGTTTTTATGAGTTCTGATGCACTTGTGTTCAGAATTATCTTGCATTTTTTAAATAAAAAATACAGTAGAAACTGTAATATTGCGAAATATTATTACATTTAAAATAATTCATTACTGTTTTAATATATGCTATACTGTCATTTATTCCTGTGATGGCAACACTGAATTTTCAGCAGCCATTGCTCCAGTCTTCAGAGTAACATGATCCTTCAGAAATCAATCTAATAAGCTGATTTGGCGATTTCTTCTTCATTATTATTATCATAGTTGAAAACAGTAGTGCTGCTTAATGTTTTCTTTTGACCAATTTAATGCATCCTTGCTGAATAAAAATATTTCTTAATTTCTTAAAAAGAAATCAATGACAACAAACTTTTGAAAGGTAGTGTATACATACATGTAGTCTATAGCCAGAGAGAGCGTACAATTCTCCCACACTTCCCAAGGCATAAAAATATGACCTCTGGCATGTAAGAATAAGGCACTTCCTTTCTATGCTCAAGACATAGCTGTCGAGCATAAAGCATTCTTTCGAGGGAAAAAAATCCAAGATGGATTGATGGAATGCTTTCTAGAAAGGCCGTATATTAAACATTTGAGATCAAGTGAACAGAACACATGGTTTCTAGACAACACACAAAGACACATTTTGTACATTCCCACCTTATTTATGGAATGAGGTTTTTCCTTAGATATTTTCCATAATGGAATTTCCCTATAAATAGTCGATGGGACTGTGGGTGGCACGTCTGTGATGCTTTACTGGAACATCTTACAAATGTTGCAGGCACTTATCAAGGCTGATGTGTCTTTTTATATAGCACTTTTTAAAACAGTAAAATGACTTTAGGTTCCCAAGGAAAAGACTAAATATTTCACCCCGGAAATGGAAATTTCAGTGCAGTAAATTCTCCCCCAGTTCTTCTCCCCTGTGGCTGGCCTATGACTAACAGCATCATAAACTGTATAATAGTGCATGCACAGTTATTTCCAACACAAAATATCATTAACATTAGCTTATATTCAATTACAAATCTTCTCTTCAGACCTCTATGTTAGTCTCACTTACATTAAAGTCACATGTCAAGATATTAAAGGGATAGTTCACCCCAAAATGAAAATTTGATGTTTATCTGCTTACCCCCAAGGTAGGGATGTAACGGTATGAAAATTTCATATCACGATTATAGTGACCAAAGTTATCACGATTATCAATATTATCACGGTTTTGTTCAAATTAGATGAAAACGTTCAAAAAGAACTGATACACACACTGAAAACATTTCAATAAGTTTTATATTTGAAAATCAACAAACAACAAATACAATTAGCAGCTATATGCACTTTTTTTAGCATAAACATTAAATTAACATTAACATGAAGCCCTAATAATAATAATAATAATAATAAATCACTTATATATATATATACACA